GGCTCTGTCTTTACATTTATTTTGACAGATGAAGCTCGCGATTATGGTAAGGGGCGTTACATTTCCGACGAGTGCTTGCGGTGTTCGGCCAATCACAATGCACTTGGTCAGCTGGCCAATCAGAGCAGACTGTGCTTGTCGGAAGGAGGGACTTTGTAGAAAGGGATGCGTTTGAGAGAGGCGGGGCATAGAGGACCTAAAATAATGTACAGTATTTTTAAAAATAATGTGTTTTTTGAACATTAAAGCATGTCAACATATTCTGTTACACCAAATACACAAAATAAGGATCTTTAAAAAAGCATCATATGACCCCTTTAATGTATTAAGCAGTTTATGTCTGATATGATTGCTTCAACAGAGTGTGGCTTCCCAGGCTCAAGATCCACCGTGCACATCACCACCAGACAGCTCATTCAGCTCTTCTTCTCCTCACAAGCTCTCATTCACTGCAAGAGCATCCCAACCCTGGAGTACGGCATCCTCATACAGGTAATCCTCAGTGGAGTTTAAAGTGTGAAACACTTCTAATATTTGCATAATGAACTGCTTCTTTCTTGCATTTATTTGCATACTGGATTGTGATTGACTGTTTCTTTCTTACATCCGTTTAGTTTCCATATTACTATGAATCTCTCCCTCTGTCTTTCTCCTTCCTTTTATCCATATTACAACTTTCCTAATTTTCCATTTTTCGTCCTCTAGGTTATGAAGTACTCAGAGCAGAGGATCCCCACTCTGAACGATTATTGTGTGGTATGGGATGAACAGCATGTCTTTCAGAATGGCTCTATGCTCAAGGTACAACAATTCTTGGAAAACTCCATTAAAATACACCAGTAAATCCATAAAACTATCATCTCAGTTTCTTTTGTGTATGTGTATCGTTCAGCCTGCCGTTTGTACGAGAGAACTGTGCGTGTTCTCCTTCAACACTCTGGGTGTCATGTCAGGAGCTGCAGAAGAAGTAGCTACTGGAGCTGAGGTATCACGCACACATTTATTTATCTAAATGAAGATATACCAGAGACTTATATTGTCTATTTATGATCTTTTGGTATTGGTATTTTATGTGTATATATATATATATATATACGTTGATGTTTTTGTACAGGTAGTGGACCTGCTGGTGGCAATGTGTCGTGCTGCACTTGAATCTGCCCGTAAAAGTATCATCTTTGACCCTTACCCCTCTGTTGTTGACCCTCATGACCCCAAGTCTCTGGCCTTCAATCCGAAGGTAGATACTTTATCAGTATCATTACTTTAAAATGAATAAAATGCTTCTAATATCAGTTTTAGAATGTTCACATTTCATCTTTGACCTTTGACATCTTTGATCTTTGACATCTGTGACCTTCTTCATTAATTTTCCACTGATAGAAAAAAAGTTATGAGCGGCTACAGAGAGCACTAGACGGCATCAAATCAATCCGAGAAATAACACAAGTGAGTAATTCAAACTGCGAAAACAGAATAGCAAGATGCAAACTCATAATTCTAAGGAAAACGTCAGAATTGCAAAATATAAACTCATAATTCTAAGGAAAAAGTCAGAATTGCAAGATGTAAACTCAGAATTCTAAGAAAAGTCTGAAATGTAAGATATAAACTCACAATTCTGAGAAAAAAAATCAGAATTATGTTTTTTTTTTACTCCGTGGTGAAAATAGGCTTCCATTTAAAGACAACTATATAGATATTTGAGATATCAAGAGTCCGCAATTGTACATCAACTGTGGCTTGACATTATTGTGACCAAGTTTGAAGGGATTCTGGTAAATATAAGGGTGATTTCAAATACAGCTGTAAGTGACCCACTTCCTGTTGCCAGTTGGTGGCGCTATAACTGTTATTCACAATAGCTACACATGTTATAGGAAATCCATAGTCCTGGTTAAGGGAATGCATGACACCTTAACTCATATTTTACAGGGCCCTTATTTTGAAATAAAGAAACAGATGGACAAACTGGACCCGCTTGCACATCCTCTGCTGCAGTGGTGAGTGAAACTCTTGTTTCCTTTAATGGAATACTCAGGTTTTCATTATTTTCCTGTTATCATAATGACCCTTAATCTTCTTTTTCTTCTCAGGATTATATCCAGCAACAGGTCTCACATTGTCAAGCTCCCCTCCAGCAGGGTAAGGGCGTTTGATCACATTCTCTCTCAAATAACAGTGTGACTAAACCTTTATTTCACTCCTACGATTTTTGCTAACAGCAACTGAAGTTCATGCACGCCTCCCATCAATTCCTGCTCCTCAGCAGTCCTCCTGCAAAAGAGGCCTGCTTTCGCACCGCTAGAAAACTCCACAGCAGCACGTTCGCTTTTCAGTGAGTTTCAGTTTAGTATGAGTTCATTTCATAATCATTAGTTTATGATTACTGACTAATCACTAGCTCTCTGTCTTCAGTGGTTCTCATATTGAAAACTGGCACTCTATTCTACGAAATGGACTTGTAAACGCCTCCTGCACAAAACTGCAGGTACCACAGTTACTCCTAATGTAGTGAATGAAGAACTATAGCATGTTACCCACAGATTTTCTACTTAGCATATTGGCGTTGATCAATCTGCCTTGTTCTCTTTGACGCAAGCTGCATGGGGTGGCCTATGGGAAGGGCATCTACCTCAGCCCCATCTCCAGCATCTCATTTGGGTACTCGGGTAAGAGTTTTTGGGCTTGTCTACAAAGTGCAATGTTTTAAAAAACGTGCATGGTTTCAGACATTTTGGACATATTTTGGGGCAAATACCATGGTTTTCTGGTTATGTACAATGGTAATACCACTGGGGTCCACAGAAAATATGAAAGAGAAAGAAAAACAGAAGTAACATATTTTTAGGGTTGTCAAATTTAGTGTTAACTAAAATATTAATTAAATATGTTTAATGCAATAATTCAGCATCTTATTTGTCAACATGAATTTGATATTATCACAGTTTCATTCCTCATTCCATCTAAAAACTGTTCAGATATTATTGGTAAGATTAATTACCATAAATATTAATGATTTCTAAAAAAAAAAGAAAAAAGTAAATACTGGGCCGAGATTATGAGAATAATCACAATAAAGCTAAATTATAATTTTTTTTTTCTAAAAACTGATCCGATTATGAGATTAATCACAATATACATAAATTGTTAATATTTTTAAAATAAAAAAACAGGTCTGAGAATATGAGATTAATCACAATAAATATAAATTATATATTTTTTTTCTAAAACAATGGTCAGATTATGAGATTAATCACAATAAATATATTTAATTTATAATAATTTTCTGGTCAGATTGTGAGATGAATCTAAGATAGATAGATAGACAGACAGATAGACAGACAGACAGACAGACAATTTATTGTAATTAAGGTCATTTACACAACATGTTGTCTTATCACACACAATAAATGTATATTAAAATAAACAGTTGCCTCTATATTTTAAAGAGGAGGCCCCTTGCCTTGTAAATACCATGACATTTGAATAATATGATACCCATTCTGTATGATATATATATATATATATATATATCTCCAAGTATCATCGATACTGCCAGATTACTTTTTTTAAGGAAACTTGTCTGATGCAGGGAGATCAAACATTTAAAATCAATTATAATGTTATACTGCAGTGCTTATTTCTATATCCATATAGCACTGTTATATTAGTTTTCACCGTAGAATGTATTTGTGTGCAGGAATGGGAAAGGGACAGCACCACATGCCTACTAAAGAGGAATTAGCACAGCACTACAACCAGGTCAACACTGTTTTACAGGTATTAACTCCATCTGCAGAAATTGGACTGATATGGCTGTATTACAGGTGCAATCTGTAGCTGATCAGATTAGGTGAGTCAAACCTGATTGGAAACGATATAAGCAGAGTTATATGAGGTTTGCATTTGTGACTGCACTCATTTCATTAATTTGTCAGCAACATAAAAGACAGATACTTACCATCTCCTATGTAAGTGTGTATCACTGCTAAATGTGTCATTGTTCTTTTGCAGTGTCGTCCCACACAGTCAAGGTTTCTTCAGAGTCGGAATCTGAACTGTGTTGCTCTGTGTGAGGGTATGGGGTTAAGAATACTTGAAAAGGCCAAATATGTCATTCAAACCATTGCAGAAATGAGCTTTTTTGTTTGTTTGACTAATTAAAGAAACAGTTTGCCAAAAATGAATGTATTAATATTTTTGTGCACTATTCCTTTAAAGTTAAGTAATTTTGTATTTCTCTCAACAGTAATAACTTCCAAAGATCTACAGAAACATGGAAATATTTGGGTTTGCCCGATTTCTGATCACGTCTGCACACGCTTCTTTTTTGTGTGAGTATTTTGACGCTTTATCGTTTGTCTTATTACAAATTCAGCATCTTTTGGCTCACGATATGTTCCACAATTGTCTGTTTTGTCTATCTTTCCTCAGGTACGAGGACGGCCAGGTAGGAGATGCTAACATCAACACACAGGACGTCTGGATACAGAAAGAGATATTGGGGGACAATCAACCTGACTCAACCTGATTGACCCGTTTCACCACTGTGACGCTTTGAGAAAGTTTACAAGGGAACATATGAACTGAATATGGGAAAGAATTACCTCAAACTAGGTGTTTTTGAAGATGCTAGCCTCCAGTCAAGTTTGTCTTTACGTGGAAACAAGGGAAACCTGTTTTGTACCTTTTTTGATAAACATTTTATTAATTTATTTCTCAATTAGTCTCTACGTCATGTTCGCTGCTCTACGTTTTTCTACTTCATGAGAAAAAGTGCTGTGAATTATCGTTGAATTTTAAGTCCAGCGGTTGAAAAAAGTATAATTTCCATATTGCCCACTGGGGGTCTCTATTGCCTAAGAATAAAAAATCGCATAAAAATAATTTGGAAATGAAATATAAACGGCTTATGGTTCTATAAACCTGCCATTTTAAAGCGTTTACGTCTGCCCTTATGGACAATTCAGCATTATTAAGTACTGTTTGATGTATGTATACAACATCAGTTCATTTTCATGAGAGTGTTGATTGATATGGATCCTAAACCTCTTAACATGAAATGTTAATAAGTTTGGTGCTGTGCACTAGAAGGCGTCGTGTTCTCATTTACTCTTCAGAGAGCTTCAACCGGAGAAGACTGCCAATAAACGACACATTACAGATGAGAAATGTAACGTATGATTGTGTCTATGTCAATGTGAAGACGTAAAACTAATCTGAAGGAGGGTCATGGTTTCATACGGCCTATATTTGTATGTCGGCAATTTTTCTATAAATTTAGAGCATTGTTACGCATGAGTTACTTTGTAAATAATGCCAGAATACTGGATGAATTGTGACTCAAATGCTCCCACAATGACAGTAAAACTCAAATTACCTGCATTATGAAGACCTCTCAACGGCCCTAACAATGAAAACAGCTTATAAAGGGATTAAACAGTGTCTTAATTAACATCTAAACCTGCCAAAACGTTTCTATAAACGGCTGGGGAATACCCTAGAAATATAATACATTTTATATAAACAGTAGATGTCAATGGAAAGTCCCCATAATGATGTAAAAATGCATATGGGTCTGCTGTCATACTGTTATCTGTCACGACCCCTAAAAAAATTAATAGTGTGTTGCATTCCGAAGTCCCAGAGGACATTTTGAATTCTCGGTTTAGCCAGCGGGTCTGTTCTCATCTGAAGCAGAAACACATAATAATTCATAACAGTGCGCTACATCCACATGAGGCCCGCATCTGCTCCAAGACCCCTTACCCTTCCTTTTCCCATTTTACATTATATTACTTTTTTGTATGTAGATACATTAATGTAAATTATGGAAATATACATAAATGTATGTGTAAAAAAAATATATATATCTGGAAATATTTATAAATTAAATTATACACCTATATATTCATTAATAATGTATGCAATATATAATTATATAATTCAAGTTGTATAACATATTCTTTTTATTTATATATTATATAATTTATGATATTAATTAATTAAAATATTAATACAAATACTATATTAAGTTAACAACATCAGCAAAATTGTATCATTTTAATCTATAATTGTAATATATAATAATTTATTACATTTTACATCTATAATATTTATGACAATATATTTACTATTATATATAATATTATTTATGATATTAATAAATACAAATATTAAGAATAAATCGATATTATAGTGTATATCACTTCAGCTACTGGTAAGAAAAACCCTACAGTTCTGCTGATTGATTCATTGTCTCCCATATTAAAATGAATTAAGCAAAATTATACTGTGCAATTATAAATCCATTAAAACAATGATTGTTGTAAGCATCATAACAAAATATGTAAATACATACTTTATGACGCTTACAATAATCATTTTACATTGTAACTGAACATAGACCAGACATAAATGTAACACTCATTTTATTTAAAAGAAAATCTATTTATTAATGTCATATAAAATATACTTGTTCACTGTCCTTGTTTTAGAATAACAAAATAAGTTTAAAGAAAAAAAGCAGTGTAATATTTAGTTTTTGTCACCTGCTTTAATTTTTTCGATTATCCACTTTGACTAAATTGCCTCTTCATAGGCTAAATGTTGTTTTGATTTACGAAAGTGGTTTTGAATGATAATGTGCTTATGATTTTTCTTCATCATTTACTCTAAAGTGCATCAGTTTTCGTCTAGTCGATGGGAAATGTGCAAATTGTATTGATGCTCAGCACATCTTTCATTAATGTAGACATCACTACTTTGCTTAAATGATCCACTTTCTCTTCCCTTTTCTTTGACTCTCTCTACCCTTGGCTGAGTGTGGTTATTATCTTTCTCTGGAAACATTTGAATGCCTTGACCCTCACAAATGTTTTACAAGTGCAGATCACGGCTGAACACACCTCAGTACAGCCCAGCTCGAGTAGTTCTGACACCCTCAGCAGAAAGTGTTCAAACACCACTTGGACCGAGCCGTGAGGGAGAACTGTTCCAGAATGGAAGTGAGGCATGAAGGAGCCCTTTTCCAATTTTTCATCAGCGAGAAAATTACCCAGGCAGTTTTCAAGCTTGCGTATTTCTCGCTACAGAGGAACTTGCTGTTACAGTTTGTTTTTGAAATGCTCTTGACTGCTGCCCAGTTTATCCTTCCACAGCAGCGTACGTGAAGCAAAAAGCGAATCCTTTTGAATTCCTCTCATCCCTTTGTAAGCGAGATTGCCTCCTTAACAAAAGTTCTCAGTGAAGCCCTACACAGTCTCCTCACACCATTAAACAAACTTCATTCTGACTTCATTTCCCTGTGGGTGTTGCAATCTGCAGTGCTCCTCTTTGAGACCTAATTTCCCTTTAATTAAATTAGTAAGACTTCCAAAGCAATCCGCCAGAGAGGCCCTGCGGCTGGGTTTCTGTTGTCGGGCAGATAACGGCTGTGAGGGTGTGTCGTCTATGGAGATTGATGAAGTAATTGAAACAGTAATTGTCAACATGTTGGCTTTTATCTGTTCTGGGAGCTTACTAAAATAAGAGCGTCTGGTTGGCAGTGCACTTGAAAGGCCCAGTTTTACCAGTAGATCTGTAACCGGTCCTATAACATCACTGAAATGTGTCCACTCTTCAGATAAATACACTCCAGATCATGTGTACACTGCAAAACAATGTCAAAAAACAAAACAAAAACTATCCAAATATGGTAGATAAACATTTTTAAACATTATTACTTATATTATTAATTATAATACATTTTCTCTATTAATTATAAAGTAATATTATACTTAATAGTAATATTATAAATGGCTTTTTTACAAGTAAAAAGCAAAATTTAAAATGTATATATACTTTAAAAAATTACATTTAATTCTAAATTATAAGGTCATTTTTAAATGTAACATAATTGACATGAAAATTTATTTCAAAGTAGTATATTAAAAATAGTTTTATTTAATGCATATTGAATTAAAGTTTACAGTAATTTATACTTTTTAAGTATACATTAGTAATGTAAATATTGTTAAAATAGTTTCTTACAAGTAAACATTTTGAATTATTTTATATGAATAGAATATATATAAAAAAAATTATAATATACATACATATATATATATATATATATATATATACATTTAATTATGAATCATCTTTATTTATATTGAACCGTTTTTTAATTTAAGGTATATTTCTTTTTATTTTTGTTTATTTTACATTTTATTTATAAATATTTTACAGTAAATTGTTTTTAAATAATATTTTTAAATTATGAATCATTAATTATGGAGAAAAACACACCTGCTAACAGTTATGTACATTGGAGTATAACTTTGTACTATATTTCAAAGTAGTAAAAGAATAAACATAATAATTCTAAATGATTTTGTATTAAAATGTATTTTTTTATTTATTGAATTTCACATTATTACTTACAATAGAATTACATATTTTTTTAAATGATGAATTTCCTTATATTTATGGAGAAACACATGCCTGCATGAACCATCAACTTTTTTTTTTCATAAAACATTTTAAAGCTATATTTCTGTATTTTTGTTAACAGTTATGTGCATCATTGGTGTGTTTAATGTTGTGTATGATATTATGTAATTGATATTCACGGCATTATTTTAGTGTTGTGTTACTGATGCTGTTTTGTTTTTGTCCTTTGTCGATATGTTCGTTCTGACCATGGTTTCAGGAAAAGCAACTCATGATGAGATGCCTTCCATTAATCGAACTGCATATGGAAAGTATTTTACAGTACATTTTTACAGTGTATAATTGTGCTTCTTACTGGTCTCATTGAACAGAACGCTTGTCTTGCCTCCTGTCACCCCAGTCTCTAGAATGTTGGATGCTTTTCCTATTTTGTCAAGCAGAACTGCATGGCCTTCTTCTCTGATTGAAATCACAGCCTCGGGGCTCTAACACTTCGAGAGCGTTCAGCAGCCACAGTGGGAGAAGATGCAGAAATACACCTGATGAAACAGCCACCTTTGGACAACAGTGAATTCTTGCTCGGTAAATGGCAGTTTCTTGACCTACATTGATGTGTGCTGTATCAATTTAGCATGCAAGTTTAATATTTAAACACAATTTCATAAGTTAATAAGTTGGCCCAAAGCCATATTTAAAAGCAGATGCCTGGCATAAGTCAACTGTGCTTATGTAGATAATTGTTTACCGGCTGCATTGTGCCGTCATGCATGGGAGGATGTGTTTTTAAACTCTCAGCCTTAATCAGTCACGCATGTTAATCAGCTACAGACACACACTGATTGACAGGACTTCATTAACACTGCGAATTTCAAAGGGGGACTCGGGAAAGCATTCACCAGGATGAAATTTGAAATTCTGTACAGAGCACTTGCCAGACACAGTGACTGTTCCTTTAAGAGATGCTTTGGCTCTCCACCCCCTCCCTCTCTGTGTCCCTCACAAGCACTCAGATTGGGTCTTCAGTGCATTCTGGAGTGTGGTAGGCACCATTTAAGAGTAAATATGCCAAAGGTCTCAGATTGTGACCAGACGTCAAGGGTGAAACGCATTGCCACATACAGAACTTCACCTTACAGCAGAACTCGATGAGAATTCTAAGAGCAAAAAGGTAAACGAATCACTAAAAGATTCTTCTAGATCAGTTTGACATTAATTTGTTCTTGTTCCATAAAGTTGTCCTGCATTTGATTTGATTTTAATTACTGTGTAATTGTATTTTTTAATACATTTGGCTTTATGGTTATTATTGATCCTTTTTGTTTACATTTAATGTTTATTACATATAGTGCTTTTTTTATTTTGTATTGTTTATTTTATTTGCCTGTAATTGCATGTAATTGTACACATACATTTGGCTTTTATATTATTATTATTATACATTTTATTTGTATTATTATTAACGTTTGTTGAATAATGTTATTTAATTAGAGTTTAATTAGTGTGTAATCCTATATTTAAATACATTGTTATTATTAAGTACATTTAATAATAATAATAATTATTATTATTATTTATAACTTATTTTATTATATGTTTTTTATTTAATTTTGTGTTTTTTAATTAATTGTATTTAAATTTGTAAACATATAAACATTATTATAAACATTGGGCTTTTTAAATTATTATTTTATATTCTATTTTATTTGTGTGTATATTTAAATACACTTGGATTTTATTATTATTATTATTATTTATGATTTTTTTTTTTTTTTTTTTTTTTTTTTTTTTTTTTTTTTTTTTTTTTTTTTTTTTTTTTTTTTGTTTT